GGAGGAGGAGGAGGAGGAGGAGGAGGAGGAGGAGAGGAGGAGGAGGAGGAGGTGGAGGTGGAGGGGAGGGGGAGGAGGAGGAGGAGGAGGAGGAGGAGGAGGAGGAGGAGGAGGAGGTCGAGGACGAAGACCTTCAAGACATTCCGGAAGACGCTGGCGGAGAGGACGTCGACTAAGAGCTTTTTTGGGGTTATTATTGGGTTGTTATTGGTGTTGTCTGCGGTCTCGGCGGCTTGTGGTGTGGCGGTGGCGGTGCTGCTTTCATTTTTCTTTCGTTTCTTGTTTTTGTTGTTGTTTTGATGTGATTATTTAGTTGGTTTCATGTTTTTCTTTTCTTTTGATTTATATTTTTCCTTTTTTTGATTTTCTTTCTTTTTTTTAGTTATTTTCAGCGTCTTCGTCTTTTTTCTTTTTTTTGTATGTTTTCTTAAAAATATCTTATTCTTCGTCTTCTTCTTTCTTGCTTAACTCGACTCCTCTTCGTATTCTTCCCGTGAACTTGATCCATCGGATTTGGGATCGAAAGACATTCAACTTTTTTTTTTTTTTTTTTTTACGAAAGAGAAACGATCCAAAAAAAAAAAAAAGAAAAGAAAAAAAAAATTCTCGTAATCGCCTCGTACTTTTTTTTTTTTTTTTTTTTTTAGCATGTGTATCGATATATTTCAATTTCTTTTTCTTCGACGTAATTGATTTAAAAACGAATAAAAAAAATCTCGAAATCATCTCGAACAAATCTTTTTAGCTCGTGTATTGATATATATATTTTTCTTCTTCTTGTAAGGTATATATCATTTCTTTTTCTTCTACGTAACTGATTAAAAAAAAGGAGATTGCACAGCACAATGCAACGACGCGGAGGCAACAAAAGCGCCCACGTTCGCGTCGCTTTGTCATGTTGTTCTTGAAGGCCTTGGGCGAGGGCGCGTGAGATGAGGAGGAGGAGGAGGAAGAAGGGGGAGGAGGAGGTGGAAGAGGAAGATGGGAGAGGAAGAAGGGAGAGGAGAGGAGGAGAAGGGGAGAGAGGAGGGAAGGGAGAGGAGAGGAGGAGGAGGAGGGAGAGGAGAAGGGGAGGAGGGAAAGAGGAAGAAGGAGAGGAGAAGGAGAGGAGGAGGGGGAAGAAAGAGGGAGAAGGAGAAGGAGGAGGAGGAGAAGAAGGGAGAGGAGAAGGAGAAGAAGAATGGGGAGGAGGAAGAAGAAAGAGAAGATAAGGATGATGAGGAGGAAGATAATGAAGGAGAAGGAGGTGGAGAAGAAGAAGGAGATGACGAGAATGATGGAGAAAGAGAAGAAGATGATGATGGAGAAAAAGAAATGAAGAAGTAGATGAAGTAGAAGAAGGGGCAGGCGAGAAGATGAAGATGAACAAGAAGAAAATAAAGATAAAGAATATGATACTAATGATAGATGGACAAACAGATAAACAGATACAGAGAGAGAGAGAGAGAGAGAGAGAGAGAACGAAAGAACGAAAGCCACACCAATTACTGTAAATTTCGACCTCGACATTGCACCTTCAAGATTTGTGACTTCTCATGTTACTTTCTTGGATTCGCCGGGTCGTCAGAGTGGACCTTGACAGTCATAAGGGCTGTACGTGAATGGGCGTGTCCTGTGGGGAAGGGGAGGGGGCTGGGAGGGCGGGGGATTGGGGGGAGGGGAGAGGGAAGGAGAGGGAGCAATGATCCATGTTTTTTTTTTTATGTGGTACTCGGTTTTGATTCGAAAGTGACACGTTTTATGATACAGTTTAGTGGAGAATAAACTTCTGTTTGCTGTCTCTTTTTCTTCTTAGCTTTTCGTTATTTTCTTCGGCTTTGTTTTGTTAGCTTTGTGTCACCAGCAGTAGAATCAGCATCGGCAGAAGAGATACATCACAGAAGTAGCAATAGATAAGACTCAGCACTATAGCCACTACTAGCAAGAAGCAGCAGCCCGGCAGGCAGCGACCGAAGCAGGAGTATCAGCAGACACCCCAGCAGAGGCCAGGATCAGTAAGGATTATATCCATCCACAGCAGACGATGAAGAACCAAGCAGAATCCTCAACAATACTATCATCACCGTCCTCAGCAGGCAGGAATTATAACCACAAGTAGGCGAAGAAGTCCTCAGCAGATTCCCCAACAAGACCGTCCTCAGCAGACAGGAACCATAACCAACAGCAGCAGAAGGAGCAGAGAGAAGAGGAACCGCACCAGCAGGTTCCATGACGACCGGAGCGCCATGTGTTCCCCCGGCAGCGGTTCTCGGGGGCTCCTTCCACGCAGGGTTCCGCAAGGAGGCAGTCCATCACCCCCTTCTGTTGAAAAGTCCCTCTCGCTGCTTCTGCCACCTGTTGGGAGCCCACGCCGCTGGACGCCGAGTTCTTGTGGTCAGTGGGTGGTCGTTCTCGTGGTCGTTGTCGGTAATTGCTGGTCGTTGTTGGCCGTTGTTGGAGCCAGGGGGGGGGGGGGGGTGCTTATGGAGAGGGGTAAATGCTGATTGTCTTACTTGGTTGG